CGTAATATATCAATATTAATTTCTTCATTTTGAAGAATGTTGTTGTGGCTATGAAGGAGAATGCCTGTAGGAAATACTTAATACTGGGAGGGTGATGGGGCATCAGGTCAACAACTTACTCTCAAATGGTTCAGAAAGACAGTTCTCTGTACTTTATCTCCAAATTTCTTTTAAGTTTGAGATTGTTTCAAACGGCAAAACAACAAAGGGAAAAGTCAGTTTGGAAGAAGAACACATATAGCCAGTAAAGGGCTCATATCCAAAACAAATTTTTAAAATTCCTACAAATCAATTTTTTAAAATTGACAGACAACCTAATGGGAAAATGAGCAAGAGACTTAAACAGGCATTTCAAAGATGAGGATATTCAAATATGAAAAGGATTTAAATCTCCTTAGAGAAAGATAAATTTAAACCACTGTGAGAGACCACTTCACATGCACAAAAATGACCAAAAATTTTAAAACCAACAAAACTAAGTATTGGCAAGGGTGTGAGACAAAGGGCATTTATAAACTAAACTTCTGTTACCATGATGGGAAACTGGCTGTCACCACCTACTAAGATTGATTATAAGTACCCAGAAATGCCACTTCTAGGAATATAACCCAACAGAAGTAAGTACAAGAATATTTATAACATTAGTTGAAACAAACAAAATTTTGAAAATATACCAACAAACTGTGGTAAATATATATATACAATGGAATAAAATACAGCAATGAAATTAATCAACCATAGCAACGTGGATAACTCACACCAAAATAATATTGAACAAAAAAGTTAAATACAAAAGAAGAAATATTCAATGATATCACTTATACAAAGTTCAATAAACAGGAAAACTATAGTTTCTAAGTGCTTGTTTAGGTGGTAAACTAGAAAAAAAAGCAAGGAAATGATTACTAAAAAAGTCAGAAGAGTGGTTATTTTGGGGGGAACGCACAGATGTAGTGACTGGGGAAGAGCACAAGGGGACTTCTGGAGTACTGGCAATGTTTATTTTTTGACCTGGGTAGCAAATACGTGGATGTTTGCTTCGTGATAAATCATTCTGCTGTTTGTTTGTTTTATGTACTTTTCTGCGTATGTCACAAAACTTTTTTTTTTAAGTATGATAAAATTAAAGCAGAATTCAAAGGGAAATTTATAGCTTCAAATGTGTTTATAGGTTTCTCTCCTTATTCTCTCACTATCCAATATTCAGAGATACTTGTATTGGAAAATAAGGACTGACAATAAAAGTCAGGCAGATAAAGACACTAGAAAAGAACAATATAAACCCAAAGAATATAGGAGCTAGTGAATAAAGAAAAAGCAGAAAATAATTAAAAAGAAAACCAAAAAAGGTACATTTTGTAAATAAAAAACATGTTAAGACCAAAAAATTTACATATACTTTATTCAATAGAAAAGTGATCAACAAGACAGATATAGTCAGAGAAAGTATAAACTGACTCAAGAAGTAAATAAAAACCTGCATCAGTCAACAATCACATGAGAAATTAAAAGGTTGGTAGAAGATCTAGTTAGGAAGAAGGGAGGGAGGGATTGAGTAGTAGAAGGGCACATATTACTTTTAGAATAGCAGCTATCTCTCAGAAGGAAGGAAGGGTGAGAAAATTGGGTAGGAGAACAAAAAGTATTTCAAGAGTTCTTGTAATGTTTTAGTACTTCAAAATTAAATAACATTTGCTAAACGTGGGTAAGACTGAAACCAAAGAAAGTTTCCAGATGGCTTATCTGTTAGGCAAGCAAGAAAAGCCATTTACCAATGGTGAATTAGTTAAATTATGTTTGATTGTATCAGCCGAAGAAATGTGTCTAGAGAAAATCAATTTGTTTAAGACTATTAGTCTTTCAGCAACAACAGTTCCTCAAAGAGTTGAGGACACTGGGAGCAATATCAATAGTCAATTTAAAAACACAGCAAATGATTTCGAGCGGTTTTCCTTGGCTCTTGATGAGTCAACAGATGTTACTGATACTATGCAGTAGTTACTGTTTATTGGAGGGGTCAGTGCCAAGTTTGAAGTGAGTAAAAAATTAGCCTCTACAAACAGTTTGCATGGATCAACTACAGGCAAAGAAGCTGGGAAAACACTACTTCAGTACAACTTGAAATAGAATCTGGTAAGGTGTGTTACAATAGATAGTGGTAAAAATAAATGTGGAGCAGAAAAAGGCTTAGTTGGACAAATTTACAAAGCTGGTGAAAATGTGTCATGTTTAAAGTCTATTGCTACTCTTTGTAATATTGATCAATAGGTACACTGTGGAAAATATATTTGAGTCCCTCATGTGTTAATAAACGAGCAGCGTTGATGGTGCCATTTGTTCTTGTGGACTTAACCATCAGCAACAGTTCTGTGAATTTTTGTCAGAAATAGAAGCTGAATATCCTGACTCACTTTACCACACAGTAGGTCAATGGCTTAGCAGCGGTAAAGTTTTCCTGCAATTATTTGAGGTCAGAGCCAAGACTAAAATTTGTCTGGTCAAGAAGAACCACCCTCAACCACTATTATCGAACACTGAATAGTTCTGGAAATTAGCTTTAGCTGCACATTTGATTAATGTTTCTTAATTAATACAACCTAAAATGACAAGGCAAAAGAGTGCTTATATGCAAAACTTATACTGTGGTGCAATCATTTTGATGACAACATCAAGCTACTTTATATACTTCCATGCTATCAAAATCCAAACAAGAAGTGAGATCTCCATTCCTACATAAATTTGCAGGGAATACATTTTCTGAGCTCTAACTATAGTCCCACAGTTCCAGCAGCATTTTTGGACTTGAATGTAAGTGCAAAGGAAACATTCATATTTCAAAATCCATTTAAACTTTCCAATTGAGGAGCTTCTACCTAACCTTCAATTGAAAGTGATTAACCTGCAATGTAATGACATTGCTAAAAGGTAAATATCAAGAGAAGAATTTAACATAATTCTATAAACGCCTTCCAAGTGATAAATATGCTCAATCAAAATCATATGCTACAGGTCAACAGCAACAGTCATAAATAATCTATTAGTATGTATCTTCGATATAATGTGATCAAAATGGTCCTTAAAGGGCCGGCCTGGTGGCGCAAGCGGTTAAGTGCACACACACTGCTGTGGCGGCCTGGGGTTTGCCGGTTCGGATCCCAGGTGCACACTGATGCACCACTTGGCAAGCCATGCTGTGGCAGCATCCCATATAAAGTGGAGGAAGATGGGCACAGATGTTAGCCCAGGGCCAGTCTTCCTCAGCAAAAAAAAAAAAAAAAAGAAAGAAAGAGGAGGATTGGCAGATGTCATCACAGGGCTGATCTTCCTCACACACACAAAAAAAGGTCCTTACCTAGTCTTCCTCTCAAAAACCTATAACCCTAGTCTAAATAATAAGAAAAACATCAGACAAATTTCAATAGAAGAACATAAACATCCTACAATATAACTGACAAGTAATCCTCAAAGCTGTAAAGGTTATCAAAAACAAGGAAAGTCTGAGAAACTGTCACAACCAAAAGGACCCTAAGAAGATATAACAACTAAATGTAACATACTATCCTAGATGAGATCCTGGAACAGAAAAAGAACATTAGGTAAAAACTGAAAAAATGTGAATAAGTTATAGACTCTAGTTAATAATAATGTATCAATATTAATTCATTCATTGTAACAAATGTAACTTACTAAAGTAAGATGTCAATTGTAGGGGAAACAGTAGAGAGTATATGGGAGCTCTCTACTACCTGCTCAATTTTTCTGTAAATTTAAAACTGCTTTTAAAAATAAAGGCTATTAATAAAAAACAAATCATATGCAGGTGGATAATAGTATCTGGCATTACCTAGCTATGTGAAAAGACATTTTCTAATAAGATGAATATGTAAAATCTTACACATCAGCATTAACAGAACATCTGCAATCAGTTTTGATAGGAAACACTAATTGTGAACTCCAATTAAGCAAAATGTTTTTGCCCCCAGAAAATAATTTCATTCTTCTCCCGAACAGACCTGTATTTTTAAAAATTATACTTATTATATTTTGAATTTCATCAATAAAAAATTTGTTTTCTCATTATATAAGTACCTACATAATATCTTTGACTTTGCCTCTTTGGCCACAAAGCCTAAAATATTTACTTACTATCTGACTCTTTACAAAAAATGTTTGCCAATTTCTGGTATGATTGAAACAAGATTGGCCATGGTTGGTAACTAGTCCAAACTGAGTGAACAGTACATGGGGATTCAATATACTTTCTTTCTACTTTGCAATGTGTTTGAAATTTATCATAATAAATTTTAAAAACTAAAAAACATATCATTAAATATACTTATTAGCAAGCAAGTTCAACCCAGCCTCATGGAATGAATAGTTTCTATTTTATATAAACTGTACCAAAGCTTAGAAAAAAGTGGTGTGCTTCCCAACTGTGTCTTTTAGAGTAGTCTCGCCATGTTATGAAAGCCAACCAGAAGAGCCCATGTTAAAAAAACCGAACCAAATTAAGTCAAAGGTCAAATGTCACTTATGCAAACAGATGGAAAATTACTTAAAATATTAGTAAATCAAATTCGGTAATCTAATGAGAATATCATAGCAAATAGCATTTACTTTAGATTTTACACTACCTTTAAATTTATTTTTTTTTAGTGTACTATAATGACAGATTAAACAAGAAAACCATCTTAAAAGATGCCGTCGGAAGCATTTCAAATACTTGAACATTATTCCTGATAAAAAATATTTGGTAAGCTAAGAATAGATGGACAGGCCAAATCCTTTACCGTTTTAACCAGAAACATTCAGCAAACATCAGATTTAACAGTAAACTATTTACAAACATTAAACAAGCATACTGAATCAGATCTTATTAAAAATAACTGCATTGTCACTATGTGAATGAGATATAGGACTTTTAGCATGCAAAATCAATTCTTATGAATAATAAACACTTATAAAAAAGGGAAATAACTAATAAAAATTACTATGCTTACCTGAACCACCCAGGGACTGTTGGCGAAGGCCATAATATCTCTTTCTTCCCAGAAAAAAGCAGAATCTGATCTCTTTATCATTTCAAACTTACTAAGAAGCTTCATAGCATAAACCTTCTGTGACGCCTTGTGACGAACCTGATTTTTTAAAACACAAAAATTATTAATACTTTAATTTTATGAAAGGTGAACAACTTATCATACTATAATGCTATTATTAAAGATTTTAGTTACAAAACAAAATGATCCTTAGCTAACTAACAAAGAGTAAAAGCATAACATTTTTAATGAAAGAAACAGGAGAAAATTCCCAACAGCCTAAATATTTCATGAAATATACAATACCTTTAAATGCTAGGTTCAATATACAATTATCTCATTTCATCTAAATAAAGATGAATTCATGAAGCTTCATTCCCTCATGTTAATTAAGAATAAGATATTGTTAAATGAGAAACTTACAAGATATGTACATGTATCCCTCACTATCTGATCATAGGAACCTAATAAATTTAGATATCAAGGGATATTTGTGATTTTATTAAGTCATCCTTATTTCTTTCTAGGTACCCTAGTTAAAAGGTTATTTTTTTAAGGGAAAAACTACCAACAATATGGTTATTTGATCACTTCTTATCTTCTTCATTAGCCTGTAAATTCCATAGAGGCAAGGACAGTGTCTATTTGACCATCATTTTAATCCTAGAATATAATATAACAAACCCTCTACAGAGCCAATAAATATTTAATGAATGACTATCTTAGTTAACATTTACTGGATAATTAATAATAAACAATAACTGCTAACATTTATACTTAGATATCTAACAGAATGTCCAAAACTGAACTCCATGGGCCGGCTCCGTGGCTTAGCGGTTAGGTGCGTGCGCTCTGATGCTGGCGGCCCGGGTTCGGGTCCCGGGCACGCCCCAAGGCACCACTTCTCCGTCCAACGTGAGGCCGAGACCCACGTACAGCAACTAGAAGGATGTGAACCTATGACATACGACTATCTACTGGGGCTTTGGGGGGAAAAAAAATGAATAAATAAAATCTTTAAAAAAAAAAAAAAAACTGAACTCCAAATCTTCATCCCTGAATTTATTCTTTCCACAGTCTTCCCCATTTTAGTAAATGGCATCTTCATCCTTCCAGTTACTCTGGATAAAAACTTTTGGCTCTTCTTTTTCTCTCATACAGCTCATCAAATTCATCAGCAAAACACATCCGTCCTATCTTCAAATAGTTTCAGAATCCAACCATTTCTAATTACCTCCACTGATAGCTACCAGTGTTACCACAGATAGATAACCACCCTGGTCTAACATCGTTTATTTCAATTACCTGCAATAGCCTCAACTAGTTTCCCTGTTGTCACTCTCACGCACCCACAGACTGGTGATCCTTCTAAAACATAACCCACTTCCTGTCACTCCTTGCTTAAAAACCCCTAATAGCTTCCCATCTCATCTCCAGGTGTGTTGTTCCCTCTGCCAGGAATCACCTCTTACAGCAGGACCCAACCCCTCACTTCCTTCAAATCCCTCCTCAGATGTTACCTTCCCAGTGAGACCTACTCTGATCAAGCTACTTAAACTCTCAATTCATCATCCCCCTCTGCTGCCCACACAGTCCCTATTCATTCTCTCTTCCTTGGAGCAATGCAGCGCAACGCTTTTTTTTTTTTTTTTTTTTACACTCAGCACTAGAATTTAAGCCCAATGAAGGCAAGGATTTTTGTTTTTGTTCACTGCTTAGTCCCCAGTGCCTAGTATAATGCCTGGCACATAACACCTTTTCAATAAATATTTGTTGAAGGAATGAATTTACTGAGTGCTTACTATGTACCAGGCACAGTGTGTTTTGATACATGTGTTATCTTGTTTAATCTTCATAACAATCCTAATGAGGCATTATTTCCCCATGTTACAAATGAGAAATTTGAGGCACAGAGAAATTAAGTAACTTGCCTCAGATTTACACAGATGGTGAGTAGAATCAAGATTTAAAGGTAGCCTGCACCCAGAATCCATGTTATTAACCACTTATCTGCGCTATTTCTATATATGTATACGTACAATTAGGATGCTTTTCCCAGAATAGGGCCAGATTACATCTGTTGACCCAGTCTTCCATTCAGCTAGTGCTCCTTTTCAATGAGAAGTATGCCAGGTTTTGTACAACAAATTATCGGGTCACCCTACTGAGGGTTGGAGTAAAGAATATAAGAGGCAACAAAGTTCCTGATGATAGTCTACAGAGACCTAAACGATCTAGCCTATGCAGACCTTTCCAATTTAAATATTGTCATTTTCTTCCCCCTTGTTCATACTTCAGGCCCACTTACCTTCTTTCATTCCTCTAATATACCTTTCCTCAGAATCTTTACAGGTACTGGGAAGGTACTAGAAAATCCATCATACTTCCTGACTTCAGTTCTCCCCCATAAAGACTTGTTCCTTCTCCACTCAGCTGAAAGACAAACTCCTCAGGGGAGTGAGATCACCCTATCCAAAGTAGGAACTCTTTGTTCTCCACCTTAGAACTCCATTTGTTTTCTTCATAGTAGATACCATAACTTGTAATTTTTTTATGTTTTTTCCTTGTATTTACTGTCTGTCTCCCATATTAGTATGTAAACTCAACAAAGATAGGGATTATCCATGCCGGTTTTATTTCTCCACTATACCCTCAGTACCAAGTACAGTGCCAGCATTGGCAATTAAAATAGACACTCGTTAAATAATTTATGATTTAAGATCTTCAAAAAAAATTTTTTTATTTGATAACTGGCCAAACTATGAATTTCCAGTTTTAAGAAAAATTCAACAGGTAATATTTCTAGTTATTTTTCATCAAGTACTGTCCACATTTAGAATCAATACTTATATTGATAAAAATAAGGTAAACCAAAGAAATGCTCACATCCTCTTGAGAAGATATGGAAGAACCATCATACTTTATAGATCAGAAATGTATAAAATACAATAAAATTTTAGAAAATCATACAATGCTGTACCTCTTTAGTAGAATTTCTTCCCCTCTAACAAAACCCAGGTAAGAAATTTTATTTTTTGAATGGACTTGAACAAATCACTAATAGAAAAGACAGACAAGTCTTAGCATGAAACAATAAATACAAACATGTATCACTCAAAATCATGCACTTCTGGCTATGACAGAATAAATGGTACCAGACAGCTTCCCACTGTAAATAATCATCAAATAGCAAAATATATGAAGCAACTTTTCAGTCTTTGTAAAATAGGCAGCACAAGACTATATTCCCTGAGAAAAGAGAAATTCACCAACTCAGCCTCATAATTGCCCAAACACTCCGCTTGAAGGCAATATCCCAATCAGCATACAAGTGATCATCTAAGCTAAGCACAACAGTCCTGCTGAGTTGAGGAGGCAGAGATCAGAGTTCAAGACAGATCAGACAGCTGGATTATGCTGAAGAGGAAACAGGAAAGTAAGGAGCTATGTAGAGGGAGATCCCTAGAAGTCCCATGTGAGTCTAGGCTAAGAGCTGGACTATTCAAAGAGAAAGTATCCAACATTTACCAGAGAGCAACTGCTATGGGGTTGATAACAGAACTGAGACACTAGAGGTTAAACAGCACTGGAAGGACATTCAATTTCCAGCCAAACAAGAGCGGAGAAACTCTGTTAATTTCCTGGGCATCCAGGTAAGATCTCTTAGGAGAAAGAACTATGCTCTAAAGCAAGACCTACTCTAGTACTACTAACAAAGCCTAATAATACCAACCCCTAAAAGATAAAAAAGGGAGCCGAGTTTGGAGGTTTTTAGTCCTGCCAGTTAAAATGACTTGGGAAACAATTTTATCTTTTCACACATCCACACTTACAAAGTATAAAACTAAGCCTCAACAAGTTAAGGGGGATCAGCAAGTAACTGGGCAGGCTTATTAGAATGAAAATCAACACTCGTCAAAGAAAAATAACAAAATCCAGAGTCTCTATCACATAACCACAAGGACCAGTATATAATTTAAAAATTATTCAATATGCAAAAAGAAAAATGTGACTCATCATCAAGAAAAAAGCAGTCAATAGAAAACAATCCCAAAAGATGTTGGATTTAGCTAACAAATGCTTTAAAATATCTCTTATAAATATATTCAAAGAACTAAAGGAAAATATGTTAAAGAAAAAGAGAAAAGAACAATCTCAATGAGTAAACGGAAGGAAATACCAATAGAGAAATGGAAACTACAAAAAAGAACCAAATGGAAATTCTATAACTGAAAAATAACTAAACTATAAAATTCATTGGAAGGGCTTAACAGAGAATGGAGATAGAAGGTGAGTCAGCGAACTTGAACAAAACTAAAACTGAAGAATAAAGAGAAAAATGAATAAATGAAAATGAACAGAAACTCAAGGGCCTGCAAAACAATTTTAAACAGTCTAAAATATGTGTAAATATAAATGGACTAAACAGTCTAATTCATAGGTAGAAACTATCAGAATTCCTTAAAAAGCAAAATCTATCCTCATATATTTTAAACGTAAGACCAAATAGGTTGAAAATAAAAGGATGGAAAAAGATAATACCAGGCAAACAGCAAGGAGAAGAAAGTTGACAGAGCAATATTAATAACAGACAAAGTTGGGCCGACCTGGGGGCACAGCGGCTAAGTGCGTGCACTCCGCTGCGGTGGCCTGGGGTTCGCAGGTTCAGATCCCAAGCGCACACCGATACACCGCTTGTCAAGCCATGCTGTGGCGGCATCCCATAATAAGTAGAGGAAGACGGACAGAGATGTTAGCCCAGGGCCAATCTTCCTTGGCAAAAGAGGAGGATTGGCATTGGATGTTAGCACAGGGCTGATCTTCCTCACAAAAAAAATAAAATAAAATAACAAAGTAGACTTCAAAGCAAAAAGAGGGTAATTCAGATAAAAAGAGTATAATTCATCAGGAAGGCATAAAATTCTAAATATGTATGCATCTAATAAATGAGCTTGAAAATTCATGAGGCAAAAACTGACAAAACTAAAGAAAGAAACAGACAAATGATAACCTTACCTGGAAATTTTAATTTCCTCTCTCAGTACTTGATATAACAAGTAAAAAACAACATCAGCACGAATATAAAGAAAATACAGCTC